GCCGCAAGACACTCAAGGTCCTCCTGTCTGTCCTCAAGGACGTCTGTGCCAAGAGCACACTCACCCCCAACGGACGGAGGACAGACAGACTCAGACTCAGCAACAAGACTAGTAGTCTAGACGACAAGCAGCAGCAAAGTCAACCAGCTCAGTGACAAAGAGAGACGCAGCAGCAGACTCAAACGACGGGTCAGTGACAACAGTGGCTAGCAGACGCATGACAGTAGGGTGCTCAGCACGAAACCGGTCAGACTCAAGGTCCGCAACGACAGGCAGAGAAGACGCAGGAGGAGACGGCAGGGGAACACGCTGCGGAGGAGAGGAAGGACGACGGACTACGAGGTGGGTGCCGGGGACAGCCGGCTGACGCGGACGAGGAACACGACGTCCGGAACGACCAGAACGGATAGGCGAGACAGGACGCGACGCAGGCTCACGACGCTCAGTAACACCCCCTGTCTGCGCTGCGTAAGGAGAAGGAGCAGGCAGTGGTGAGCCATGTTGTAACGGAATACCAATAGACGAAGGGAGACTAAGAACCTGGCGAAGCGTAGAGTTAAGCGGTGGCTGAGACGACGGAGACGGTGGAGCAAAGAACAGGTGCAGGTGTGCAGTGCCACGAGCACAAGCAGCTCCAGTACCCCCAGCAGCTCCAGCACCTCCAGCAGCTCCAGAATCCTTAGCGCCAGCTCCTCCAGGACCAGTTCCACCAGCAGCAGCACCCCGAGAACCGGCGCCTCCAGTCCCAGGGTCCCCAGCCTCAGTGTCTCCAGCAGCAGCACCCCCAGACCCACGGTCTCCAGTAGTAGCACCCTCAGGCTCAGCAGCACCTCCAGCCCCAGCAGCTCCAGTACCTCCAGTACAAGCACCTCCGGGACCAGCACCACTCCCAGCTCCAGTGACGTCAGCAGAAGTACCTCCAGCGGCAGAGCCCCGAGCTCCAGAAGCGCGACCCTGACGGCGACCGTACCAGTTGTGCAGCTGCTGTGAGGTGAGAAGCACACGTGGATGAAGGCGGCTACTCCAAGGAGACCGCGCAGCAGCAGACAAAGAACCCTCAGGACTCGAACCCCCAGACTCAGTACCCCCAGGCTCCTCACGCTCGGGCTCACCACCTCCAGACACAGCACCCCCAGGCTCAGGACCTCCAGACTCCTCCCGCGCAGGCTCAGCACCTCCAGGCTCCTCACGCTCAGGCTCAGCGCCCCTAGATTCCGCACCCCCCCTGCTCACCACCTCCTGGGTCCTCACGCGCAGGCTCTGCACCCCCAGGCTCAGCACCCCCAAGCTCCGCACCCCCACGCTCCGCACCCCCAGGCCCAGCACCCCCAAAGACAGCACCACCCCTAGCAGGACCTGAGTCACCAGTGACCTCAACAGGCGCAGGCACGGGAGGGTCTACCTGAGAAACACCTGAAAGAGCAGGACTCGGCGCGGGGAGGGGGTCTACCTGGGGAGGACCTGGGGCGAGAAAGAGCGGCGGGGGGGGGGGCGAGGGGCAGTGCGGTAGGGAAAGAGACGGTAAAAGGGGACGGACTCGTCAAAAGTGACGTCCTGAGACGGAAAGACACGGCGCGAGGCGGGGTCGTAAAACTGCCAGCCAGGCGCGCCAGGGACAAAGCCAAGGAAGACGCAGGGAATGGCGCAAGCGGAGAGCTTGTCCGCAGTGGTATCGCGGACAAAGGCACGAGCACCCCAGGCCCGGAAACGCGACGCATCGCCAACCTTCCCCGTCCACAGCAGTGTGGGCGAGGTCTCCGGCAAGGAGACACGGGGCCAGAGGTTGAGCTGATGCGCGGCGTACCGGACCGCAAACGGCCACTGAAAATGGGGGGCAGCCGCATGGATCATGGAGGTACGAGCGACCTCCATGACTAAGCCAATGCGGCACTCAGCAACCCCGTTCTGCTGCGGAGAGGCCGGAAGCGTGAACGTCTGGCGGATGCCGTGCTCCGCACAGAAGGCTGCCAAGAGGTCTGAGGAGAACTCACCACCTGTGTCAGAGTGCAGACGCAGGACAGGAAAGTCTGATTGGAACCGCTCGCGGAGCTGGAGACGAATAGCACGGATCCAGGGGATCAAAATATCAGGGCACTCCCCCTTGGGCTGCAAGGGGAAGACCGTGGTGTAACGCGTGTAGTCGTCGACGACCAGCAGGAAGTACCGGTCGTGGCCCTGTCCACGGACGCGGGCTAGGCCCCACACGTCCAGGTGGAGAGTCTGCAGGGGAGCCTCTGTGGGAGGGAACGAGGAGGAGTGAGGAGCGGCGCGCTGCCGCCCCTCGACGCTGGGAATGCAAGGCGGCGCAGGCGAGGGAGGGAGGGCAGGCAGAGACCTCGGAAGGCCAGAGACCAGGAAGCGAGAGTGCATGCTACAGAGGCGAGGCAGGGAGGTGTGACCAAGGCGGTGGTGCCACAGGAGAGTGTCGTGCGATAGGCGGCGACACTCACACTGGGTAGCTACCTGAGCAGACGCGTACAGCTGGGGAGACAAAGGGGTGGAGCGCGACGCAATGGTGAGGGTGTACAGACTGGACCCAGACCCATGTGTGAACGTGGCCACGTGATGGGCGGTCTGGGAGCACGTGCAGATTGCCACACGCTATCCTCCAGGAGTAAAGGTATCAACCGAGTGATCCTGAAGGACGACGTTGCTCACCAAGTTCATAGAGAACGAGGGGAGGTGGAGACCAGACAGCTCACCAGACGGGACCGCCGGACACGGAAGCACAGTGGTAGACCGTGCAAGCACTGGGCCCCCAGAGGGGTCAGCCAGGGAGACAGGGACAGGTGCAGGGAGGGGAGTGACTGTGGTGCTGTTGCGAAAGAAACAGCGGGAAGCACCAGAGTCAAGTGTAAAGGTGTGCAAGGCCTGTGCGGACTCAGTACCTAGGAGAGCAGACTCACAAGCACCTAGAGCTGCAGGCGCTATACCTGGGGCTATACCGGGGTCAGGCGGCACACACAAGTAGCAGTCACCCTCAGCACTAACAGTCAATGCATACATGGCAGCAAGGATAGCATCATAGTCAAGATCAAAGATAGGTACATCACGCCTAAGCAGGTCTGCCCAGCTAGGGAACTCAGTAGCATCAGGAAACTTGACGCGCCAGGCGTCGCTAAGCCGAGCGAAACAACGGTACTCAGTGTGAAAGCCGGTGCACTGGCGACCAGCGCGGGGACCTGCGCGAATGATATAGGGGCAGCGACCAGGACCCCCAGACGCCCCACGCCCGGCATACCAGTCATGAAGCTGCTGGGAAGTGGGGGTCTGGCGCTGAAGCTACTGCGGCTGCTGCTGCTGCTGTCCCTGGCCACCACCGGCCCCACCCAAGTCCCCACCACCGCCGCCACCACCACTCCCCCCTCCGCCACCGCCGCCGCTGCCACCGCCACTACTCCCGGCACCACCACCGCCCCCACCACTACCTCCACCCCCACGACCACCGCCACCACCTCCACCGCCCCCGGCGCCTCCACCACCGCCCCCTCCACCCCCACGTCCGCCACCCCTGCCACCCTTGCCTCCCTTGAAGCCGCTGCGCTTTCCACTCGGAGCGGAAGTAGCTGCGACCTTCGCAGCACGAAGGAGGTCGTCAGAAGCAGCTGCGGAGGCGTAGGAGGGGGTAAGAGGGGAGGGGGAGCACCCCTCAAAGAGGTGAGTGCGGGGAGTACCACGAGCAGCACCTACAACTAGAATGTTCCTCTCGGCTGCTAGGAGGTGCTTCTCGAGGTCGCAGACAGTGAGAGAATGGGGGTCAAGGGCGAGGAAGTGGTCCCTGACTGAGCGAAGAGTGTCGGGGAGGCGGGTGATGAGGAAGTAGAGAGTAAAGTACATCGGGGGGTGGTTCTCTGCGAGGAACTCGGCTGGAAGGGCGGCACGAAGGCGAGTGTCACTAGCGCGTAGGTGAGAGATGAGGTCCTCAGCGGTGGTAAACGAGGACAGGTCGGGGAACTACAGCGTCGTACAGTGCCTTGGCAGTCTTGTGCTGGTTAAAATGCGCGCGCTCTGTGATCGGCAGATGGTTGCAAATAGCGAGGCGCGCAGCAGCATCGCGGGTCTGCCACTGGGAGCGGTCTAGAGCAGGCTCAGTGTCAGCAGGAGCAACGGCAGTGCCAATCACGTAATCGAACAGGGAAACACCGTCCTTGGCATTAGTCAGAAGGATTAGTTGCAGGTCGTCAAGCCAGGTGGTAAACTCTACTGGGCGACCGTCAGGATCGAACGCGAGCACGTTGAGAGTCGCCATGCTTGCAGTGTAGGCAAGTCTAGTGCGCAGGCGGCAAGGCAAAAGGCAGGCAAGGAGAGGCTACGTGCAAGGCTGCAGTGGCGGCGCACGGACTGCAGTGGCGGCGCACGGACTCCTAAGGCAGCACGGAGGGCAGCAGTGGGCCGCGCGTGGGCCTCTAAAGCGGCGCGCGGTGCAGCAGCGGGCCGCACGCGGGCTCCTAAGGCGGCGCACGGTGCAGCAGTAGGCCGCGCGCTGGCTCCTAAGGCGGCGCGCGGAGCAGTTGCGGGCTGCGCGACCGGAAGAGGGCAGCAGCGGGCTGCACATGCGGTTTACGTGGCGCGCGGGCCGGCGGCTTGCTGCGCGGGCGATGGTCGCGGCGCGCAAGGCCTAAGCGGGCTGCGCACGGGCGGCTTACGCGGTGCGCGGGCTGGCGGCAGGCTGCGCGGGCGGCTGACGCGGCGCGCGGGGCCGAAAATGGGCTGCACGCGGGCTGCTTAGGCGCACGCGGGGAAAAAAAAAGGGCCGCGCGCATGCAACAGAGGCGCGCGCGGGCAGCAGGCAAGGCAGGCAGGCAGGCAAGGCCGTAGGTGAGGTAACGCGGTAACAGGTGGGCCCTAATCTTAGGTCCTAAAGACCTACTGCTCTAGATACCAACTCAGAGGCTAGGCAGGAATGAATTGACTATCGAGAGGATTGGTGAAAAGCCTAAGGGGTTATACCCCACATTATCTACCCCACTATAGCCTACCCACAAATATAACATATGCATATGTTTGACATCCCCTACTCTGCCCTTCCCTCCCCTCCCCTTCTCTCCACCTCCTCTGCCCTTTCCTCCCTTTCCTTCTTCTCCTCCCCCCTCTACTCATCAATGTGGTAGTACACTACACACCCCTAAGGTTGCGACTTTTGAGACGTCTCAAAGGACTTCCCCCTCCTTCCTTCATTTCCCAAGGTCCCCTCCCTTTCCTCTCTCCTCCCTCTCCCTTTCCTCTCCCCTTCTTCTCCCTTTCCTCTCCCCTCCCTCTCCCTTTCCTCTCCCCTCCCTCTCCCTTTCCTCTCCCCTCCCTCTCCCTTTCCTCTCCCCTCCCTCTCCCTTTCCTCTCCCCTTCCTCTCCCCTTCCTCTCCCTTTCCTCTGCCCTTCCTCTGCCCTTTCCTCCCCCCTCCCTCTTACCTTTCCCTCCCTCTACTACGCAATGTGGTAGCGCGCACCCCTAAGGTTGCAGTGAAGGTCTTCGTAGCGTGAGGGTCTGGGACCACTCCCCTCACCCATCCCTCTCCCCTTCATGTGCGCTCCCTCCCTACCCCATGATTTTTACACAAGCGTTTTTTACAAAGTACTACTGACATTTCACCAGGTGTTGAACCTAAGTTGCTGCCACGTATTATTGCAATGGCACCTAACTGGTGTCCACTTCCGCTCATCCCTCTCCCCTTTATGTGCGCTCCCTCCCTATCTGTACTCTGCGATGTGGTAGCGCGCACCCCTCCCCTAAGAGGAGGGGACCTCTCCCCTAAGGTTGGAGGTCTCGAGGTCCCCTCCTCTCCCTCCGCTTCCTCTCCCCTTCCTCTGCCCTCCCCTTCACCCCGCTACTCCGCGATGTGGTAACGCGAGATCCGGACATGGCTCAGTGAGCTGCGTGCGTGCAGTAGGCTTAAGCAAAGGAAAAAACAGCAGTAGATTTCCGCTCTCCCCTTCCTCTGCCCTCCCCTTCACCCCTCTATTCCGCGATGTGGTAACGCGCACCCCTAAGGTTGCGGCGAAGGTCCTCGTAGCGCTTGATATCCTGCAACGTACAATGCGATACAGTACAGTTCGATACAGTACAATGTGAGACAGTATTATGAGACGAAATCTATTGTGATAACAGTCACGGAGATGACTCGTATATTGTGATACATGCCCATGAGGTAGAGTACAGTGAGATACAGAACAGTGCGATCGTGTAGAATCTGATACAGCACAATGAAATATACGTTTACGTGATATACTACAATAAAATGCAGCTCCGGGAGATTGATATGCTGATTAGGCATAGCAAAAAATGATTTGACACAGATGAAATGAAGCAGGCAAAAAGCATGCTAACAGACAGGAGGCAGATACATACACAAGTTCAATTGGTCCACAAGCTCACAGGGGGTGACTTTTGAGTCGACTCAGAAGTCCTCAAGCTCACACGACCAAAACAAACAGACACACGTACAAGCTAACATACAAACCCACAACAAGCTCACCTGAGGAGAAACCGAAGGGACAATTCGAGTCAGTGCCTTCTTGAAATGCCGAGCCTCCACTACAGGTCCGGGCCAAGCCTGCGGCCCCTTGTCCAACATGGCAGCAGGGGCGACAGGTTCGGCAGCAGTCGACGCAGCAATAGGAAGAGGAGCAACAGCAGCAGCAGCGGCAGCGGCGGCGGCAGCAGCGGCGGCGGCGGCAGTCGCAGGAGCAGAAGCAGTAGGGTGAAGCTGAGCTGCTTCTGCTTCTGTGTGTCGAATGGACATGCGCTCTCGTAGTGCCGTCACACACGCCTCTCGCACCTACATGAGTGGAACACAACACATGAGAGAGGGAGTTCTGAAGAATATTGTGATGATGGGCAAAACGAAGGGAGACAAACAGGAACTTTCACCACCCTTCCCCCTTCATGTGTTCTACGCATGCCATCATCACACACGCCCCTCGCACCTGCACATGTGGAACACAACACGTGGGAGAGGAAGGGTGACGAAAAGTGCACTGAGGAAGGGAAAACGGAAGTAAAATGCACCAGCGGTTCCAGAACAGCAGCAAAATAGTCAACTAGAGTCAACTCATCAGAGCTGCCAGTTCAGCACCAAGCAAACCCATACAGCCCAAGTCAACCCAAGTCAATGGAAATTCAACTCACCAGGGCTGCCAGGTCAGCACCACTGAATCCTTCACAGGGGGCCTTGCGTCCTCTACCCGCCCCCAGAGTCTTTCCTCCCACCTTCCCACCCCTTGCTTTCTGCCCCTCCTCTTCCTCTGCCCTTGCCCTTTCCTCCCCTCGTCTAACACTCCCATCTATCTCTCCTCCCCTTCCTCCTGCTGATCCTCCTCCTCCTCTCTGCTCCGCACTGCCAGTCTTTTCTTCCCCTGCTGCTGCCCCTGCTGCCTCCCTTGCTGCTGTTGCCCCCCATGCCTCTGCACCTGCTGACACACCACCCCCAGCACCTGCCAGCTCATTCATTAGCTCAACATTCACGTCTTCTGCTCGGGGAATCGAGCGAATGAGAGTGCACAAGATGGCTGCCCGAGACGGCGCGTCGGGCAGCGGAATGAAAAGAAGTTTGTCAAGGCGACCAGGGCGGAGTAGTGCTGGGTCGATCATGTCAGGCCTGAGGAAGAAAGGAGGGAGGTTCGGAGGGTGGGAGGAGGGAGGGAAACAATTGAGAACTCTCAAAAACTTCACCCCGACCATGCCTCTCTCTTCACGTGCGCAATCATGTGCAAGCTCTTTACCACCACGCACACACCTGTTGGTGGCGGCAATGATGTAGACGCTCTTGCGTGACTCAAGCCCATCCATCTCCGTTAAAAGCTGTTCCCGCATCATGATAAGAAGCACAAAAGAAAAAAGCATGTCAGGCCCAAGCAAGCATTACTTGCAAATGAGAAGGAAACGCGATGGCAAAAGGGTACTGAAAAGACAAACCACAAAATATTCCATCCATGAGAACACGCACAAAACGTTTTGGAATAGGAAAACACCTGGTTGCCTCACCTTTACCTGCCACTTCACCTGGTTGACCTGCGTTGACCGGCGTTGCCCTGTCGCCTCACCTGGTTGACCACTCTCTCTGCTGCTCCATTGCCGTCGGACCCTCTCCGTGGAGCCATGGCGTCCATCTGTGGCGGTGGGGAGCGGTGGGGAGCGGTGGGGAGAGGTGGGGAGCGGTGGGGAGGGTGTGAGGGGGGAAGAGTGGTGGGGAGGGTGAGGAAGGCCATCGGCTCACCACTCTCTCTGCTGCTCCATTGCCGTCAGGCCCTCTCCTGGGACCCATGGCGTCCATCTGTGGCGGTGGGGAGCGGCGAGGGGAGGTCGGATGGGAGGGAGAGCGGTGGGGAGCGGTGAGAAGGGGTGGGGGGAGGCCATCAGCACCCTCTCCAAACTCTAAGAGCCGTTGTCGCCCGAACCTTTCCTTGGAGCCACCTTCCATGAGGGGAGGTGGGTGGGGAGGGGGTGGGGGAATGTGGCAGAAACAGATGGGTCAACTATTACTGGGATGACGTAAAAGACCTTCACAACGTCTGAAAAGAGGAAAGACTTGAACGAGCGCACGTGAAAGGGTCGCTTTGGTCTGGGTCGGCTGAAAGTAACATTCAGCTGCACACCTCTTAAAAAGGAAAACAGAAGCGGACTAAACCGATCGTGCAAACAAAAGGAGGTTCACTTTGGTTGCGCAAGGGCAATCATTCAGTTCCTCACCTCATCACAGATTAGTACACAGGGCGACGATGCTCTCGCTCGCACAAACAGGTGGCGATAAGGTGACACTTTCGAGTCAACTCAAAGCTCGCTGTCAGAAACATGCCAAGTACATGCGCCACATTGCTCCCTCACCTCATCAAAGAAGAGCACACAGGGCGACGATGCTCTAGCCCGCACAAACAGCTGCCTCAGGAAAGCCCTTTTGAGTCGACCCAGAACTCGCCCTCACGAAACGAACATGTGCCTTGCTTAGAACCGACTTGTAACCTCACCTCGTCAAAGAAGAGCACACAGGGCGACGATGCTCTCGCCCGCACAAACAGAACAGCTTGACATGAGAGACTTTTGAGGCGCCTCAAAAGCCCGCACAAACAGAACAGCTTGACATGAGAGACAAAGCCACCTGCGGCGGTGCCTTAGAGGAGAAGCACGCCTTATCCTTCCTTTCCTCACCTCATCAAAGAAGAGCACACAGGGCGACGACGCCCTCGCCCGCACAAACAGCTGACGCACAGACCGCTCGCTCTCTCCCACATACTTGTTCAGCAGCTCTGGACCCTGGAGTGGAGGAGGGGGTTGAGAGAGCGAGAGAAAGAGTGGGGGGGGAAGCAAGGGCGGAGAGGGCAGATGAGAAGAGGGTAGGGTATAGAGTCAAACAGCTGACGCACAGACCGCTCGCTCTCCCCCACATACTTGTTCAGCAGCTCTGGTCCCTGATCGGTGGAGAGGGAAAGGAGGGAAGAAAGGAAAAAAAGTAGAGCGCGGAAGAGAAGAGAGATTTGGGGTGCCTTTGAACCAGCTTGCCCGCCCAAACAGCTGCCTCACCGACCGCTCACTCTCCCCCACGTACTTGTTGAGTAGCTCTGGTCCCTGGAGGGGAGGAGGGGGTTGAGAGGAGGAAAGAGAGAGCAAGGTGGAGAAAGGAAGCAAGGCTGCATCACAAACAGCTGCTGCACTGACCGCTCGCTCTCCCCCACGTACTTGTTAAGCAGCTCTGGTCCCTGAGTGTGGGATGAGGGAACTATTAGGATAGAGGTCTGGATAGATAGTTCTGGTAGGGACACACGTAGTCTGACCTTTGAGACATCTCAAAAGGGAACAATTAGGATAGAGGTATGGAAAGAAAAATTCTGGTAGGGAAAAATGTATGGAAGAATGTACACTGACGTGCATGAGGCTGTTTGTGCCAAGAGTTGAATCCCATAACACTTGGTTGGGTTGGGTAGGGCCAAACCAGAACAAGTGCGATCGATTTTTCATGGCATACCATACCAGCTATACCTTACCGCCACGCTTTAGCAAGCACAGCAGCATACCTTGATGATAGCGATGAAGTTCGCCCCGGCATCACTGGCAATTGCCTTGGCCACCACAGTCTTGCCACAGCCATAGCTTCATCCCTGTAGCGCACTTGTGGCATTTGTGGCATGTAAAACATGACATGGCATACCTTGATGGATATGAAATTCGCCCCAGCATCGTTGGCAATCGCCTTGGCCACCAGCGTCTTGCCACACCCTGGCGGGCCGTAGAGGAGGATGCCTGTTGCTGCTCGGAGCCCCATGGCCTGGGGGACAAGGCAAGGCAGGTGGAGAAGAGAGGGAGTGAAAGAGATGAGGAGAATCGCCTTGACCACCAGCGCCTTGCCATACCCCAGAGGTGCGTAGAGGAGAATGCCCGTTGCTGCTCTGAGCCCCATGGCCTGCAGGACAGACACAGAGAGAGAGACAGAGGGGGCAAGAGAGGCAAGTGAGGCGAGGGTGGAAGAGGAGAGTCGCCTTGGCCACCAGCATGTTGCCACAGCCTGGCGGGCCGTAGAGGAGAATGCCCGTTGCTGCTCTGAGCCCCATGGCCTGGGGCGGGGGACAGACGGATAGACAGAAGGACACAGAAAGGAAAGTGAAGAGAGGGTGTCCGAGATGCAGAGGAGCACGGGCTTGGCCACCAGCGTGTTGCCTTGCCACAGCCTGGGGCCAGGGGCACTGCATGCATGGTAACCAGCCAACCCACCACATACTCCTCGGGGTATTTGATGGGCCAAGAGATGGAGAACTCCAGCTCCTCCCTCACATCCGAGAGTGCCCCCACGTTGTCCCAACGGAACCATCACATTAACCCATATGCTGTATGCATGAGCACCAACCAGCCCACCTCATACTCCTCGGGGTACTTAATTGGTCGCGAGATGGAGAACTCCAGCTCCTCCCTTACATCCGAGAGTGCTCCCACGTCGTCCCAATTGACCCCTAGGGAAGGCGGTAAAGCCCTCCTACTCAACCCACCTCAACCCACCTCAACCCACCCCAACTCACCCGAACTCACCCCAACTCACCTCATACTCCTTGGGGTACTTGATGGGGCGAGAAATCAAGATGGAGAACTCCAGCTCCTCCCCCCCTCACATCACTTAGAGCACCAACGTCGTCCTCCTACTCAAGTGATGGTGAGGGAGCTGAGGTGACCCCGGGAATGGTGGTGCCGTGAAGCCATGGTGGTGCGGTGAAGCCACCTCATACTCAATCCACCTCATACTCAATCCACCTCATACTCAATCCACCTCATACTCAATCCACCTCATACTCAATCCACCTCATACTCAATCCACCTCATACTCAATCCACCTCATACTCAATCCACCTCATACTCAATCCACCTCATACTCAATCCACCTCATACTCAATCCACCTCATACTCAATCCACCTCATACTCAATCCACCTCATACTCAATCCACCTCATACTCAATCCACGTCATACTCAATCCACCTCATACTCAACCCACCTCATACTCCTCAGGGTACTTGATCGGCCGAGAAATCGAAAACTCCAGCTCCTCCCTCACGTCTGCCAGAGCCCCCACGTCGTCCCAAGTGACTCCGGGGATGGTGGTGAATCCCTCCCTCTTGGCGCTCGGTTGCACCTTCGCCACTGCTGCCTGCAGTGATCCATAGTGGTAGAGAGTGGTAGAGAGTGGTGGAGAGTGGTGGAGAGTGGTGCAAGGGAATAAAAGAGGTTTACACCGTCAGCCAGCCAGAGCACCAACGTCGTCCCACGTGCCCTCCCTCTTGGCACTCGGCTGTACCTCCGAGACGCAGCCTGCAGTGGTACAGAGTGGTAGAGAGTGGTGAGAGGGAATAGAACTTGATCATATCATCACTCAGGTGAACCCGGGGATTGGGGTGAAGCCCCCCCTCTTGGCACTCGGCTGTATTGTCGCCACTGCTGCCTGCCAAAGAGGAACAAGGGTAGGGTGATTGGCAGGGTGGTCGAGTGGGGTTATATTGGTTCGGGGTCACAAGGTATCAAGAAGGTATCAAGAAGGTATCAAGAAGGTATCAGACCCTCCTCCCAAAGCGCCCACACAGTCCCATTAAATTCCAATCCAACCAGGTGGCCCCCCAGGGATGGTGGTCAAGCCCTCCCTCTTTGCACTCAGCTTTACGTTCATCATGCGACCTGCATGAAAGGAAGGGAGGGGACTTTTGAGTCGACTAAAAAATGTGTCGTGTGCCATGGTAACGAGGGGACTTTTGAGTCGACTCAAAAGTCACCTCTTTACGTTCATCATGCGACCTGCATGAAAGGAAGGGAGGGTTATGATAGGGTACCATGTAAGAAAATGGTAGAGGGTGGTCGTTGAGAGGGCGGTGGGTGTGGTTCTCAGACGGGAAGGCAGATGATGCCACCCCAACGCACCTCAAAGTCCCCCATTGTGATGCTCAGCGCCTGCAACTCCTCTTCCTCGATGCAGATGGTATGCACAAGGCACATGCCTGCGAGCATACCTCCATGCCTCTCACTACTCTATGGTATGCCACCACCCCAACGCACCTCAAAGTCCCCCATTGTGATGCTCAGCGCCTGCAACTCCTCTTCCTCGATGCAGATGGTATGCACAAGGCACATGCCTGCGAGCATACCTCCATGCCTCTCACTACTCTATGGTATGCCACCACCCCAACGCACCTCAAAGTCCCCCATTGTGATGCTCAGCGCCTGCAACTCCTCTTCCTCGATGCAGATGGTATGCACAAGGCACATGCCTGCGAGCATACCTCCATGCCTCTCACTACTCTATGGTATGCCACCACCCCAACGCACCTCAAAGTCCCCCATTGTGATGCTCAGCGCCTGCAACTCCTCTTCCTCGATGCAGATGGTATGCACAAGGCACATGCCTGCGAGCATACCTCCATGCCTCTCACTACTCTATGGTATGCCACCACCCCAACGCACCTCAAAGTCCCCCATTGTGATGCTCAGCGCCTGCAACTCCTCTTCCTCGATGCAGATGGTATGCACAAGGCACATGCCTGCGAGCATACCTCCATGCCTCTCACTACTCTATGGTATGCCACCACCCCAACGCACCTCAAAGTCCCCCATTGTGATGCTCAGCGCCTGCAACTCCTCTTCCTCGATGCAGATGGTATGCACAAGGCACATGCCTGCGAGCATACCTCCATGCCTCTCACTACTCTATGGTATGCCACCACCCCAACGCACCTCAAAGTCCCCCATTGTGATGCTCAGCGCCTGCAACTCCTCTTCCTCGATGCAGATGGTATGCACAAGGCACATGCCTGCGAGCATACCTCCATGCCTCTCACTACTCTATGGTATGCCACCACCCCAACGCACCTCAAAGTCCCCCATTGTGATGCTCAGCGCCTGCAACTCCTCTTCCTCGATGCAGATGGTATGCACAAGGCACATGCCTGCGAGCATACCTCCATGCCTCTCACTACTCTATGGTATGCCACCACCCCAACGCACCTCAAAGTCCCCCATTGTGATGCTCAGCGCCTGCAACTCCTCTTCCTCGATGCAGATGGTATGCACAAGGCACATGCCTGCGAGCATACCTCCATGCCTCTCACTACTCTATGGTATGCCACCACCCCAACGCACCTCAAAGTCCCCCATTGTGATGCTCAGCGCCTGCAACTCCTCTTCCTCGATGCAGATGGTATGCACAAGGCACATGCCTGCGAGCATACCTCCATGCCTCTCACTACTCTATGGTATGCCACCACCCCAACGCACCTCAAAGTCCCCCATTGTGATGCTCAGCGCCTGCAACTCCTCTTCCTCGATGCAGATGGTATGCACAAGGCACATGCCTGCGAGCATACCTCCATGCCTCTCACTACTCTATGGTATGCCACCACCCCAACGCACCTCAAAGTCCCCCATTGTGATGCTCAGCGCCTGCAGCTCCTCTTCCTCGATGCAGATGGTATGCACAAGGCACATGCCTGCGAGCATACCTCCATGCCTCTCACTACTCTATGGTATGCCACCACCCCTAACGCACCTCAAAGTCCCCCATTGTGATGCTCAGCGCCTGCAACTCCTCTTCCTCGATGCAGATGGTATGCACAAGGCACATGCCTGCGAGCATACCTCCATGCCTCTCACTACTCTATGGTATGCCACCACCCCAACGCACCTCAAAGTCCCCCATTGTGATGATCAGCGCCTGCAACTCCTCTTCCTCGAGGCAGATGGTATGCACAAGGCACATGCCTGCGAGCATACCTCCATGCCTCTCACTACTCTATGGTATGCCACCACCCCAACGCACCTCAAAGTCCCCCATTGTGATGCTCAGCGCCTGCAACTCCTCTTCCTCGATGCAGATGGTATGCACAAGGCACATGCCTGCGAGCATACCTCCATGCCTCTCACTACTCTATGGTATGCCACCACCCCAACGCACCTCAAAGTCCCCCATTGTGATGATCAGCGCCTGCAACTCCTCTTCCTCGAGGCAGATGGTATGCACAAGGCACATGCCTGCGAGCATACCTCCATGCCTCTCACTACTCTATGGTATGCCACCACCCCAACGCACCTCAAAGTCCCCCATTGTGATGCTCAGCGCCTGCAACTCCTCTTCCTCGATGCAGATGGTATGCACAAGGCACATGCCTGCGAGCATACCTCCATGCCTCTCACTACTCTATGGTATGCCACCACCCCAACGCACCTCAAAGTCCCCCATTGTGATGCTCAGCGCCTGCAACTCCTCTTCCTCGATGCAGATGGTATGCACAAGGCACATGCCTGCGAGCATACCTCCATGCCTCTCACTACTCTATGGTATGCCACCACCCCAACGCACCTCAAAGTCCCCCATTGTGATGATCAGCGCCTGCAACTCCTCTTCCTCGAGGCAGATGGTATGCACAAGGCACATGCCTGCGAGCATACCTCCATGCCTCTCACTACTCTGTGGTATGCCACCACCCCAACGCACCTCAAAGTCCCCCATTGTGATGCTCAGCGCCTGCAACTCCTCTTCCTCGATGCAGATGGTATGCACAAGGCACATGCCTGCGAGCATACCTCCATGCCTCTCACTACTCTATGGTATGCCACCACCCCAACGCACCTCAAAGTCCCCCATTGTGATGCTCAGCGCCTGCAGCTCCTCTTCCTCGATGCAGATGGTATGCACAAGGCACATGCCTGCGAGCATCTATGGTATGCCACCACCCCAACGCACCTCAAAGTCCCCCATTGTGATGCTCAGCGCCTGCAACTCCTCTTCCTCGATGCAGATGGTATGCACAAGGCACATGCCTGCGAGCATACCTCCATGCCTCTCACTACTCTATGGTATGCCACCACCCCAACGCACCTCAAAGTCCCCCATTGTGATGCTCAGCGCCTGCAACTCCTCTTCCTCGATGCAGATGGTATGCACAAGGCACATGCCTGCGAGCATACCTCCATGCCTCTCACTACTCTATGGTATGCCACCACCCCTACGCACCTCAAAGTCCCCCATTGTGATGCTCAGCGCCTGCAACTCCTCTTCCTCGATGCAGATGGTATGCACAAGGCACATGCCTGCGAGCATACCTCCATGCCTCTCACTACTCTATGGTATGCCACCACCCCAACGCACCTCAAAGTCCCCCATTGTGATGCTCAGCGCCTGCAACTCCTCTTCCTCGATGCAGATGGTATGCACAAGGCACATGCCTGCGAGCATACCTCCATGCCTCTCACTACTCTATGGTATGCCACCACCCCAACGCACCTCAAAGTCCCCCATTGTGATGCTCAGCGCCTGCAGCTCCTCTTCCCTCCACGGTTCCCTCCAAGCCTCCCTTCCGCCTCCTCTCCCCCTCCCCTCCTCTCCTCCATCCTCGCCCTGCTTTTCTGCTCCAGCACCCCTTTCCTCCCCTGCCTCACTCCTCGCTCCCTTCCCATTTTTCTCTGCCTCTCCCTCCTCCCCATTCGCCATAGGAACATTCTCCTCCCCATCCACCAGCATACAGTCACCACCTTCTTCTCCTGCTCCTGCTGTTGCTGCTGCTGCTGCTTCTCCTGCTGCTGCTACTAAAACACCTGCTCCCCTTTCCCCTACTCCAGTCACTTCCATTGCTCCTCCTTCCCCTACTCCAGCCATTGCCGCCACTCCTGTTCCTGCTGCTCCCTCCAATCTCCCACCACCCACCAGCACCGCTTCCTTACTCGTAAAAATCCTCTTCACCGCAATAGCCGCCGCTTCTTTCGCAAGAGCGGCCAGATCCGCCCCGACAAACCCCGGGGTACGCCGCGCAATAACCCCGAAATCAAACGACCCCTCCAGCCGCAGCTTCCTGGAAAGTACCTCCAGGATCCGGGCCCGCGCTGATTCATCGGGGATCCCCAGGGAGATCTCGCGATCAAATCTGCCCGCCCGTCTCAGCGCAGGATCCAATGAATCTGGACGGTTTGTTGCTCCTATCACAACCACATGCCCTATCAACTTCCTCCTCTTCTCCCTCTCCCTTTCTCTCTCCCTCTCTTCCTGCTCCTTCTCCGTTTCCTCCATCCCTTTCCCCTGCTCCTTCTCCTTCTCCTCTCTTCCATCCCCCGCCTTCTCCCCTGACGTGTCAGGAGATGACTGGAGGTCATCAAGACACGTCAGCAGCTGCGCAACAATCCTCCTCTCCATCTCCCGCTGAGCCGTCTCCCTCTTGGGTGTGATGGCATCAATCTCGTCGATGAACAGAATGGCTGGAGCAGCCCTTTCAGCCGAGGAGAAGAGCGACCGTAGCTTCGCCTCAGACTCACCTGGTGAGATATGAAAGTAAAAGAAACAAAACAAGCAGGAATCATTGTTAAGCCGTCTCCCTCTTGGGTGTGATGGCATCAATCAATCTCATCAATAAACAGAATGGCTGGGGCAGCTTGTTCAGCCGAGGAGAAGAGCGACTGTAGCTTGGCCTCTGACTCACCTGGCAGTCTCAAGTAGGGAAGCATGGAAAAAAAGGGACAGAAGGGGATTGTCAGCAGCAGGACATCTCCTGCTGAGCCGTCCCCCTCTTGGGTGTGATGGCATCAATCTCATCAATAAACAGAATCGCTGGAGCAGCCCTTTCAGCCGAGGAGAAGAGCGACCGTAGCTTCGCCTCTGACTCACCTGGTGAAATCTGAAGGATAGAAATAGACAAAACAGGGAGGAATGGTCAGCAGAAGCTACACAGCACAAATGACATACCTGACATGTCCGAGACGATTTCACAAGCAGCGATCTTAAAGAATGGCACCCCCGCCTCCCGTAGCATGGCATGCATGGGCCTGCATCGCCTTGCCACACCCAGCAGGAAGGTCGTTCAGCAGCACCCCTATGGTGCTGCTCCTACTGAGTCGACTCAATAGGTGACTTTTGAGTTGACTCAATAGGTGACTTTTGAGTCGACTCAATAGGTGACTTTTGAGTCGACTCAAAAGTCGCCTGCATCGCCTTGCCAAACCCAGCAGGAAGGTCGTTCAGCAGTACCCCTATGGTGCTCCTCCTACTGCAATGGATATTATATATTCAGCCCCTTACCTGACATGCCAGAGAGAGACTATCTCAGGAGCAGCGATCTTGAAGAACGGCACTCCCGCGTCTCTAGCAATGGCCTGAGCCAGCATTGTCAGGTCCGTGCATGGATTGCCGCTCATGGGGACAAAGAAACTGCATACCTGACATGCCCGAGACGATATCTGGGGCAGCGATCTTGAAGAACGGCACTCGTGCCTCTCTGGAAATGGCATGGGCCAGCATCGTCTTGCCACACCCAGGAGGTCCGTCCGTGGAGAAAAATCCCTCTGCTGCTGCTGCTGCTGCTGCTGCTGCTGCTGCTGCTGCTGCTGCTGCTGCTGCTGCTGCTGCTGCTGCTGCTGCTGCTGCTGCTGCTGCTGCTGCTGCTGCTGCTGCTGCTGCTGCTGCTGCTGCTGCTGCTGCTGCTGCTGCTGCAGCAATGGAAGCCACCAACCCCGCCCCTTACCTGACATGCCCGAGACAATCTCAGGGGCAGCGATCTTGAAAAAAGGCACCCCAGCTTCCCTAGCAATGGCATGAGCCAGCATCGTCTCGTTTTCCACCCACCCAGTAGGAGGGCCCAGCAGCAGCACCCGTCTGCTTCTACTGCTGCAATGGAAACCACCTACCCTGCCCCTTACCTGACATGCCGGAGACTATCTCAGGAGCAGCGATCTTGAAGAACGGCACTCCTGCCTCCCGTGCAATGGCCTGGGTGAGCATTGTCTTGCCACACCCTGCTGGAGGCCCGTGCAGCAACACTCCTATGCTGTTGCAGCAACACTCTTATGCTGTTGCAGCAATAGAAATCACATATCCCGCTCTTCACCTGACATGCCAGAGACGATCTCTAGAGCTGCGATTCTGAAGAACGGTACCCCAGCCTCTCGTGCAATGGCATGAGCCTGCATCGTCTTGCCACACCCACCCAGGGAGAGAACCATTTAAGCCCCGGCGACCTACGCAGTTGTGTTGTTGAGTTGATGCGGCGCCTCAGAACACACACACAAACAACGCACCTAGATACGTATTTCTTTTTTTTTTTTAATTCTCAAAAAACAGATTCAGTCGTGTTGAGTTGATGCGGCGCCTCAAAACACACAAGCTCTGAACACACAAACAACACACCTGACCTGACATGCCGGAGACAATCTCAGGAGCAGAGATCTTGAAGAACGGCTTTTGAGGCGCCTCAAAAGTAATCTCAGGAGCAGAGATCTTGAAGAACGGCTTTTGAGGCGCCTCAAAAGTAATCTCAGGAGCAGAGATCTTGAAGAACGGCTTTTGAGGCGCCTCAAAAGTAATCTCAGGAGCAGAGATCTTGAAGAACGGCACTCCATCTTTTGAGGCGCCTCAAAAGAGATCTTGAAGAACGGCACTCCATCTTTTGAGGCGCCTCAAAAGAGATCTTGAAGAACGGCACTCCATCTTTTGAGGCGCCTCAAAAGAGATCTTGAAGAACGGCACTCCATCTTTTGAGGCGCCTCAAAAGAGATCTTGAAGAACGGCACTCCATCTTTTGAGGCGCCTCAAAAGAGATCTTGAAGAACGGCACTCCATCTTTTGAGGCGCCTCAAAAGAGATCTTGAAGAACGGCACTCCATCTTTTGAGGCGCCTCAAAAGAGATCTTGAAGAACGGCACTCCATCTTTTGAGGCGCCTCAAAAGAGATCTTGAAGAACGGCACTCCATCTTTTGAGGCGCCTCAAAAGAGATCTTGAAGAACGGCACTCCATCTTTTGAGGCTCATCAAAAGAGATCTTGAAGAACGGCACTCCATCTTTTGAGGCTCCTCAAAAGAGATCTTGAAGAACGGCACTCCATCTTTTGAGGCGCCTCAAAAGAGATCTTGAAGAACGGCACTCCATCTTTTGAGGCGCCTCAAAAGAGATCTTGAAGAACGGCACTCCATCTTTTGAGGCGCCTCAAAAGAGATCTTGAAGAACGGCACTCCATCTTTTGAGGCGCCTCAAAAGAGATCTTGAAGAACGGCACTCCATCTTCCCGTGGCAGGGCATGCATGCATGAGCCAACATCGCCTTGCCACGCCCAGGAGGCAGTCCGTGTGTGCGTTTAGGCGCCTGAATTCAAAGAAAAATCACGCACCTGACATGCCCGAAACAGCCTCTGGGGCAGCGATCTTAAAGGAATGGCACTCCAGCCTCCCGTGGCATGGCATGGCATGCATGAGCTAGCATGGGCCAGCATTGTCTTGTTAGCTAGTACACCCAGGGGAAGGGCCTTGCTGCAAGAAACCTCGCCCTTAGACGCACCAACATAACACTGCTTTCAGTTCAGGGAACCGGCCTGGGTGCCAACTCATGACGCACCTGACATGCCCGAGACAATCTCTGGGGCAGCAATCTTGAAGATTGGTACCCCACCCAGCCTCTCTAGAATAGAAATAGCATGAGCCAGCATCGTCTTGCCACCACACCCAGGAGGGCCGTGCAGCAGCAACCGTCGGCTGCTGCTGCAGCAGCAATGGAAACCACCTATCCCACCCCTTACCTGACATGCCCGAGACAATCTCAGGAGCAGCGATCTTGAAAAACGGCACTCCCGCTTCCCGTGCAATGGCATGAGCCAGCATCGTCTTGCCACACCCAGGAGGCCCGTGGAGTAACACCCCTCTTGGAGGCTCGACGCCGAGCCAAGCGTACAGCTCCGGATGCGCCAGCGGGTACAGGATCAGCTCCCGAACCTGCTCCACCACCCCGTCGATCCCCCCGAAATCCGCAAACCGGACCTCCCGAGGCGCGGCCCGGGCCGAACCTCCCTCCCCCGGACCTGCTTCGTCTGGGAAGATATCTGCCACACCCGAACCTCTTGCTCCGGCCTTCTTCTTCCCTTTAGTGCCCACCCGCTTTATCCTGTCCCTCAAAAGATCTCTGCTGGTGTCGCCACCTTTACTTAGCCCCTCTGATTGCCTCTCTCGTTCCGACCCTCTCCCTCCCTCACTCACCCTCCCCCTTCCAGCCACCCTGTTCGCCCCCTCCTCTCCCCCTTCCCCCCCCTTCCTCCTCTTCCACTCCCCCAAGCTTTGAACCTGCTGCTAGCCCCCCCATATCTCCTCTATTTTGCGAACTCACTGCTTTCCTACCGCTCCCTGCCTCTCTGCTCCCTCCCTCTCCCCCTCCTCTGCCCCCTCTCTGCTTACTCCCCTGGCTCTCAGTGCTCATAGCAGGACCGGCAGTGCTCAAACTCGCGCCACCAGCACTTAAACTAACACCGCCGGCACTTACAGAAGCACCAGTAACGGATTTCTTTTCTTGCAAACGATTCTTTTCGAGTCTAACTGCTGTTGGTGGCTTTAACCCTGCTCCTGCTTCTGCTTCTGCTCCTGCTCCTGCTCCTGCTCCTGCTCCTGCTCCTGCTCCTGCTCCTGCTCCTGCTCCTGCTCCTGCTCCTGCTCCTGATCCTGCTCCTGCTCCTGCTGCTACCCCTGCTACTGCTCTTACAACAATATCAGTGTTGGCCTTAATCACTCCCTGTTTAGTGGCATCCGCTACAATCACATCCTTCTCCTTTCGCTTCACGCCCCTCCTCTCCCCCTGCTGCTGCTGCTGCTGCTGCTGCTGCTGCTGCTGCTGCTGCCCCTGATTCCGCTGCAGCTGCAGCTGCTCCAACGCTGCTCCTGCTGCATCAACACCAGGAACAACGGCTGTTCCATTCCCAACCACCGGCGCAGCAGCCTCAGCAGCAGATGCTGCTGCAACGACAGCAGAAGCAGCAGTCACAGCAGTCACAGCAGCAGCACCAGCAGCACCAGCACCGGTACCAGGACCAGCAGCAGTAACCACAGCCGCAGCAGAATCAGGGGCGCCAAGAACAGCAACAGGGTTACCAGTTACAGCAGCAGCAGCACCTGCGCCCACTTGTTTCCCTTTGCCTGCCAGTCTCTCCGCCTCCCTAAGAGCTGCTGCCTTGATGGCACTCAGAGGCGCAAACGCAGGGGCTGAAGCTTTAACTCCTCCGCTTCCTCCTCCTCCTGCTCCTGCCCCTGCGCCTGTCCGTTCACCTTTCCCTGCCGATTTCCCGGCTTCCACTGCGTTATCCCCCTTTCCATTTCCCTTACCTTCTCCCTTCCCTCCTGGTGTTCCTGCCTTATCATAAGTCTTCCTAAGAGCAGCATTAAGGAGATTAAAGCCACGTGTACCGATGTCCTTAGGACTCTCTGGCGGCTCCTCACTCTCTCCCTCACTTTCTCCCTCACTCGCTCCCTCACTCTCTCCCTCACTCCACTCCACACTCATTGCCTCATTCTCTCCCTCCACACTCTCTCCCGCCTCACTCGCCACGTCAGCATCTCCCATTTCCCCTCTTTCTCCCCCTTTGCGCCCTCCCCCCAGACCAACCCCTCCGCTAGCCCCCGCTAAACCCTCAACCCCGGTTAAACCCTTTCCGCCAGCTTTCTCCCCTGAGCTCTGCGCAATCCTTTTCCCCGCGGCTTTGGCGATCTCCGCGGCTTTGGCGATCTCCGCGGCTTCGCCTTCCCCATCCGCCTCCGCCTTTCCTTCCCCCTCCTTTTCCGCCTCTCCTTCCCCCTCATCTTCCCCCTCCGCCTCCACTATCCCCCTTGCGCGCATGTGCGCCTGCTCCAGCTGCGCCAGGCGCTGGTCCTCCGCCCCTCCCCCTTCCGCCTGTCCGCCTTCCGCCTTCTTCCCCCGTACGCTCGCCTCAAACTCCGCCTGCTCGCGGCTCAACCCCCCCTCCAGCCGCTGCTGCGCCGCCTGCTGGGGGAGAGGGCGAAATGGGGAGAGGAGCGGGAGGTTCATTAAAAGTTCCCTCCATGAGAATAGCTTATTCCGCTTAAGAGGCATACGTTGGATTGACTCGCAACAAGGGCTTCAGTAAGACCTTGAATTCATATATCGACGGCTGACGTACCTCCACCGCTTTAGTCACGCTCTTTAAGAACGGCCCTTGTGGCTTGCGCTGATAGTCCCGCGGATGCGCCTCGCGAAGCTTCAACGCAACTTCCTCCACGGTCAAGTAATCATTATCGGCCAATATCTTCTCGACACGTGTCACCAATTGCGGATCCATAATGTAAACCTGCCCTGGTCGGGGTTTAGCGGAATTCGTTAGAGGAATTCCCGTTTGTGGCACATTCGGTCTTGTAGAACCCTGTGGAGCCGCGGGACGTCCGGGATTTGGAGAATGGTGCGGGGACTGCTGCTTTCGACGCTTCGACTTTGCCATAGTGTGAAAACGAGATGTATAGTTGAGAATCTTGTTGCTGCTAACCGTTCAATGACACGTGGCCTTCAATATTGCAAACGGAGATGTATCTAACGATGCTACTACCCGTTCAATAGCACGTGACCGTTACGCACGCTCCAAAAACGCAAAAGGTGAAATGATCACGGCTCACTAAACACCGGGAAACAAGGGGCCCCGTCCGATCAACAACAATCTGCGACTAGAGAGGGAAGAGGGATGCGGAAGAAGGGGATACTGAATGAGGGTGGTGTGAGGGCTCGTGGAGGTTAGAACAATGCCACCTTCTAAAATCTGAAGGGTTGAAGGTTCAGGGGTTCTGTAAAATCTGGTGATTCTAGTTATTCGAGAGACATTGAACGAGCTGTACGGGCGTGTCAGATCTTGTTTACGAACTGTACGATGTTCAGAAAGGAGGTTGGGTTTGACAGAGAAACAAAACGCTTCAAAGCGTACAGAAACGTGCTCAACCGTGGAAGTGTCGGAAGCCCCTGCCGGGCTGCCGAGCCCTATTGCGTCCGCTGTGGTACCAGCGCAGGAGTTGTGACACGAGGTCCAGCATCTGTAACGCGGGTCGTTATTTTTAGGACTCAATTGGTTCCGAGTTCGATACTACCTGACCTCAAATCGGGTGCTGGACCGAAGAACTTTGGAAATTGTTGGCCAACCTTTGCCATTGGACGATGCGCGTGGCACTTGGCAGAAGCAACCAATGAGGGGGGAAAAGAAGTGTTTTATTTAACTTTTGTTTCGTATTCGATTCGCACCTCTGCATCCCTCAGGAGCCCTAGTTCCCAACGGCTACTTTCCCTGAAATGACGACAGACACAACGCACAGAAAAGTATCGCGACTTTGCTGTTTCAGCTGTGGATAAACACGCCCTGGCGGTTTTCAACATCAACATCAGGCACACTTCCTAGCGACTGCTGGTTATGCCGGCCATTGATGTTTGAGAAATCCTTGCATCACCGTCTCTTGCAGAATGCCTCTAAGCTTGGAGCTTGCAACAGATTCTCTCGTTTGAAGTCTTGTCTGCTGATACGCAAGCAAGTTCCGATTCTCACGCGATCTTTTCGTTCCACGGGAATCGTCGGAAGAAATTTTCGCGCACACCCGTCCTAATTCAGCACTAAATTTTGATGATGCCGTGTTTTCCGGAGCATCGTTCGACTGTGTCTTTCCGCAGCCTGAAGCACATTCGTTAGCAGCACTTCATGCTTTGCGGACGCATCGAAGTTCCTTCGGTTATTACTAGCCATGGCAGCCGCAGCTCTCAAAAAGCCCGCGGCGCGCGTTATAATCACTTGTAGTCAAAAAGAATCGATTGCGCTGGTAATCGTAGTACTAATCATCAACCTGCTTTTATCGGTCCCGGCGTCAGCAGACCATCCGTCATGGTCTCTGTCAACTGACGGCCGTCGAGTTCCGTCTGACGCAGCCAGCGCCCGAGGGACGGAGTTACCGGCCGCCGTTAGTGAAAGCAGTCGAGCTGATTTAGTTACTGATAGCGATTGGGCGCCGACCAGAAGCTTCACTTTCCAGCCGTTGAGCAGTAGTAGTCCGTCAGGTAGTTACCGACCGTCGACTGGTGGTTACCGGCCGTCAACTGGTGGTTACCGGCCGTCAACTGGTGGTTACCGGCCGTCAACTAGTGCTGGCAGAAGACTGCCGGTAACTCGCGACCCGCTCTTGGAGTTGATTCTGCCGTGCGAGGAATGGGAGGGGTGTGACTGGAACGATGTGACTGAAACGGGGGAGAAGTTAGGGTTGGAGGACTGGAGAGGGCTGGGGAATACACTGTCAGAGACGGATCGAGACGACGGGCATCAAGAGGGATTAAGGCTCCGAGAGACGGACGGCGGAGATGAACCCGAGAGATCAGGGCTGGGTCAAATGGGTCATCTGCGGAATGGTGATGGTGAGGGTGTTGAGTTGAGTACGGGGAAAGAGAGAGGTTTGGAGAGTGGGGAGGATTTGGAGAGCAAGGAGGAGAGTGAGGAGCTTGAAATGAGTGGTGATGCGGGGGAAGAGAACGCGGAGAAAGATGAGGAGGCGGAGGAAGAAGGAGAAGAAGATGAGGCTGGGGAAGAGGACGAGGAAGATACTATCGAGTCTGTCTTTAAAGAGATTCATGCGTGGGAGGGAGAAGGGAGTTCTGAACGGGACGGAGAGAGGCACATTGAGGGTGAGAGGCACAGGGCGAGAGAGAGCAGGGGCGGGGTTTTTGAGAATTCTCAAAAACCAGGGAGTGCTGAAAGGGACGGAGAGAGGGATATTGAGGGTGATAGGTACAGGGCGAGAGAGAGCACGGGCAAGGGGGAGAGCGGGAGCAGAGAGGAGAGGAGTCGCAGGTGGAAAGAGGCGATCAGCGAAATGAGAGGCGAGTGGGACGTGAAGGAAGCGAGGGGAGTGAGGGGAGAGAGGAGAGGAGTGAGTGGAGTTCCCAAGGGGGTGAGAAGAGGCGGGAGGACGGGGAGACGACGGCTGGTGGACGGATGGATGGCAGGGCTGCCGGAGAATACCGAGAGAACAGCGATTGAGAAGACAAGCAGGAGAGGTAGAACGAGAAGGAGGAGGAGGCTGGTGGATGGGTGGGTGGCTGGACCGCAAGAGAAGGGAGAGTCAGCGTTTCGGTGGCGGAACGAGGTGGGAGATGACGAGGAGATGCTGACTCAGCACCACGACAGCTACCAATGGCAGTGGCCCGTGGCACGGTTGGGCGACAGCTGGCGCGGCATGTTCATGCGGGAAGCCCGATATGACATTGCGGTAAGCACTTAATTAAGTGGAGTGTTTAGCTAAGGTCGTATCCCTGGCTGGTGGCAAGAAGTTGGTGGCAAGAAGTTTCCGCGCGCGATTGGTCCAAAACAGACGCCCGGCCAATGCGATTGGTCAAGCGGTTTTTTTAACCAATCGCATGCGCAAAATTCTTGCCACCAACTTCTTGCCACCAGCCAGGGATACGACCTAAGGAGAGGCTGCTGCTGCTGCTGGCTCGCACCACAGCAGCAGCAGCAGGTGCAGCATGTTTCTGCGAGAAGATCGATATGACATTGCGGTAAGCACTTAGTTAAGTGCTGAGGTTGCTAGTGGAGAGGTTGTTGCTGGCCGACAGCTGAAGCAGCACGTTCGTACGAGGAGCCTGGTTCAATGCGATGAGCTCTAAGTGAGTTCTTTAGTTAAGAAGGAATATGCTGCTGCTGTTGCTGCTGCTGCTGCTGCTGCCGCCACCGCCGCCGCCGCTGCTGCTGCTGCTGCTGCTGCTGCTGTTGCTGGCGCAGCAGCATTAAAACGGCTGATGCAAGGTGGAAACTGCTGGTGGGGTGTTGTTGGGCGACAGCTGGCAAGGCATGTTTAGGTGGGGTGCCTGGTTCGGCATTGTTGTATGTAAGTGAAGATGCCCACAACTTCACTTCACTTACAACAAGTGAAGGTGTCCTTACGGTAGTGTTTTTGAATCAGCACTGGCTGGTTTCAAAACCCCCCTCATCCCTACAGAACATCCACTCGTGTAAAGGCATCCTCCCTGCGCCAGCCCCCTACCCTTGCAGAACACCTCCTCACTGGCTGGTTTCAAAACCCCCCTCATCCCTACAGAACATCCACTCATGTAAAGGCATCCTCCCTGCGCCAGCCCCCTACCCTTGCAGAACACCTCATAACTCAACAGGGCATTCTCCCCGCTACAGCTGACACTAACCTCTTCATTCTAGGTCCTCACGTCTGGATGGTGTAGTCGGTTATCACGCCAGTCTCACACACTGGAGGTCTCCGGTTCGATTCCGGGTTCAGACAGATTTAACTTTCCATTTTCTTCCATTTCTCTGCTTCGTCGCTTCTATGCATGACGCGAAGTCATTACAAGCTAACGAGTGGATTCCCAGTCACTTCCGTCGCAGTTTTTTTCCGAAGACTCCAGGTTGCGAACTCGATCAACTTGCCTCGACATTTGGTTCCTCTGTGGAGCATTCTTGCCCGAGCAAGAATGCTGTACCGCTGAAGGGTGTGTGCTTCAGTGTGCGGGGGAACGGCGTCATTAAAAGCTAGGGCACACGTGGATTAAAAGCAAGCTGTGGCCCCACTCCCTCCCCTCTCCTGCAGAACACCCCCTCACGCAAGGGCGTCCTCCCCGCACCGACCTGCCCATTCTCGGCCGGAAAATCAACCACAATTACCTACCCACTCTCCAACTCCCCATCCCCATCTCCATACCCTAACCCGGCCCACTCTCGCCTACAGAACATCCCCTTGTGTAAGGGCATTCTCCCCCCGCCAGCCTACACCAACCTCCCCATTCTTGGCTGCGACGCCAACGAAACAGAGCAGAAGATTCTCGGCAACGTGCGACGCCAGCAGGAGAAGAGAAGCATGAAGCTGTCCCCCAGAAACTCTTCCGACCAAGCGTGCTATGAACAAGACTTACTCTCTCTCTCCCCCCCTCATCTCTCCTCCCCTCCCTCCCCTCGCCTACAGAACACCCCTTCATGCAAGGGCATTCTCCCCCCGCCAGCCTACACCAACCTGCCCATCCTCGGCCGCGACGCCAACGAGACAGAGCTGAAAATCCTCGGCAATGTGCGGCGCCACCAGGAGAAGCGC